TATTAAGCTTAATGTCAATGCACCTCTACTCTGAAGAGTAATTAACGTAACCATTTTTACTAACATCCTCTCTGCTGGTAAAAATCTGCACCTATGTCTTGCATTTCTCCACGTGCTGGACTTGAAAGCTTCCTCTCCATAGACACATTTTTTGACTCCATCTAGTGGCACAGACTCGCTGTTGCTCCACTCTTGACTGTCTGACTGCAGATTTAAGAACAACATCAAACGTCGCGAGGCAGTAAAGGTTTGATGCTCTTCACTGAGCACATTCTTCACGTCTTCACTTCTTGCGCACAGCACATTTAACCGCAGCCACACCTGCTGTGAAAAAAGTCGGGCTGCTTTGGAGCGCTTTTTAAGTTAATACAGTTTTAATGGTGTTGACTTTGGCCTGGTTTTAATTACTGACTCGGCTACAGCTGTGGGAGGAGTCAAAGAACCGTTAATCGATGATATGCGTAGTGCTGGATTTGACTTTTAAGCAGGACAGTGTCAAGCAGGAAAGCATGTTTAGTGTTCACCACACAAACTGTCACAACGCAGGTGGGACAGGAACACATTACAAAGTAGGTTTTCCACAGTAACTGTATTGCAAAAGTAAACAAGGCGGACAATCATATCATTCAACAACAATATGTTTGTTCCTCGGAGTTGAAGTTGCCATTTCTCCATGTCTTAGAAAAGTGAGCTATGATCTCCAACAGAATCGTCTAAATACAGAAAAATATATTTCAGGTCAAAAAGGATTGTAAATACTTGGTAGTACTGTGAAGAACAGTAAGGGAAGACAGCTACAACAGGTATCATTCACTGTCCTGGCACAGTGGATGCATTTAATAGGTCGGACATACAAAAATAAACCACAACAAAGCAACACACGTATTGTACAAAAGAAAAACCTGAAAAGAGTGTTTGATCAGAGCGTTTCGGAGACGAAAGCAGAGCGCACTGACACCGAAAATGTCCTGACCAAAAATAACGTGGAGAAAAAACACAACCCGAGGTGTGATGGAGGTGTGGACGCGGCTGCTTCGAACCATAATATCAACAACAGTAATGATAATCATGTCACATTGGAAATGGTTGGAGACAGGATGTAGATAAAAAAGTTTGCCAACGTGGGTTCTAGTGTGTCAAATGTCCGTGGTGCCCCCCCAAATACACAAACGCCTAAAAAAGAAAGCAACAAAAAGTAAAGGGTAAATTCACAACTTGATGAAATATTCAAAACCAAAAGAAAACAAAAACTCTTTAGAATTGTACAAGTATAAAAAAGCTACAAACATTAATAAATTACATCACTGACACATAAACACTTCACAAGGTGCTAGTAAAATAACTCCAAAACCCTTCAGGATACTAGAACTCGAACAAGAGGCTGGTCATAGAAACTTTAAGTGTTGCTTTTTTTAATCCTTTTATGTAATTTTCCCTCAAAGCTTCGTCTCTCGTTCGGACAGAATCACAATACAATTAGCTTTGTGTATGTAAGGCCATATGACAATAACATGTATCGTGTCTTCGATTGTTTTCCAGGCAACACCTTTACGTCTAATGACAACATAATACTACTAATAATAAAAGTGAACCTCTGTTATTAAAAAAAAATACAAATAAAAATTAGGACTATAGTGTATATCCATATATATACTTTTATTCATTTATTCTTATTAGCAAAACCGGTAAAAATGCTGAATGAAGCCTTAAGGGGAAAGGATACAAAAAGTAGTAATTTAAAAGGCTATGTACAAGCTACATTCTATATACTGTGATGTGTGAAGCTATAAAAATGCAGAGATGTTGTCGGTGCTGCCCGGGAAAGCAAAAGAAGAGAGAAAGTATCCCCATGTAACCGCAGGCGTGACGTGGGTGAGGCTTATCATCGGCGGCAGGGCACGATCTGATATCCTCGTGTTGGTGTTGTTCCCAGATCATCATACTAA